GCCTACGCGTCCACGAAACTTTTGTACGGAAAGCGCGGGGATTTTTCTTTAGTTGGCGGGACGGATCTTCTAGAAAGCGGGAGGTATCTTTGCTTTTATCCCGTTAAACTGCACTGCTTTGACTCGTTCATCTACAGGCCACATCCCGCGGCAGCTACATCTTGGCGCCCTCGAGACCCTCAACCTCGAATTCAACAAGCTAGAGGGTGAGTTGAGAAGATAAAAAAAAAACATTTATTCNTTTGGAAACGACATTGTTGAACCTTTGGACTACAGGCCCCATCCCCGCTGCAGCTGGAAAATCTTGCAGCGCTGCAGATCGTCAACCTTGAAGGCGACCAGCTACATGTCGCAGAGGCTAGTACATGCTCTACAAGCCGGTCGGGTTATTTTGTTTATTCCCCGCCGACCCTGCCGACATCTGGAATACACCCTTCCCGTATTTTGACACCACACGGCATTTGCTACATTTTTCCAGGCATGGCTGCGACAAACAAAAACGGATGGATGCGAGCACGGAAACCAACCACCAAGCCTACGGGGCCCGTACGGAACGGTTCTATCGTGGAGAATGCTCCAGAGTACAACGTGCGCCGCATCGGAGCCCTGCAAAAGAAGAGAAACCGAAGGTCCCCAGCGTACCAGAGGCACTTGAAAGCCAGGAAAAGTCATGTGCTGCACAGGGCGCGTGTCCAAGGAGCAAAAGCTAGGAGGCGAAACATTGCAGTGTCGATTAGCTTGGACGAATACAGCAGTCAGTGAGCCTTGTACGCAAAGCCTGCTGGTACTGCGGGGAATTCACATACGAGGGGTACTGAGGCGTAGACCGTGTGCAGAACACGGGAACGTACGAACGAGACAACCTTGTGGCATGTTGTATGACTTGCGACTTCATGAAAGGGCTGTCGGTCAAAGAGTTCTTGGGGAAGGTCAAAAGAGATCGCAAGAAAGAAATCGAAGAATAATACCTTGGAGGTTGTTGCCCCCCAGATGCAACGTCACCACGCGGCCCTGGGAGTCGACTTCGACTCCGTACCATTGCGAGAGGGCGGCACGAGTGTTCCAGTTTCGCTTGTTCCGCCACTTAGCCCCACCGGTCGCGTTGTATAGGGCAACCAGCGCCTTGCGGTCCGGCTGCGCCATCGTGTAGTGGGGGGCCTGGGTACGCGGAAGGTTGCGGGACGTTCGCGAAGACAAACACTTAGTGAAAGAGCACAAGTACCATCGATTTATTTCTGTTGGTCGTCGTTTCGCGACTGAAGTGGTGCATTCACACCAGCATCACAAGAGGATGATCGCATCAAAGAACTACAACAACATCTTCGAGCGCGAACAACCTCGGCGATGTGCGAATGATGAACGATGCCACACTTTGCCGCCAGGTCAACAACCCAGTCTATGAAAGAGAGGAGAGAGGAACAGAAAATACCCACCTTTTCTTTGCAGTTTTGCACAAGCGCGGTAGTAGCGGGGAACAGCTGGACCCTGTCGTTCCCTCCTTTTACGGCACCGCTCTCGTCGTGTGGATCCTCTCTATCAGGTGGGCTAGAGCACGGTGAATGTGCTCCTTCCTGAACTCTAACCAGATGGGACTGCTGATCTGAATCAGTGCTATTACGTGCTGCTATGCATGGACGTTCCGCCGCTTTTATTTGGCTGGTGGACGCCTCCTTGAAAACAGGGGGCACATGAACATCGGTCACGGCCCACCGCCGACAACCCCAGTACAACCCAGCACCCGAATACCTGGTGAACACGATCACGGACAGCCGGAAAGCTCAGCTAGGCCGGACGTAATCCCAACCATGGAAGTCAGTTCACGGTGGAGCAGGTGTGTGAGTACCCACTGGCAGTGGTTTGGGGCGAAAGTGCCATATCTCGCCATCAAGTGATCAAGTGTGGCCTTCAAAAGACACGGCATGGTTGAACTTGGCGGTTGCGCCGTTGCTCGGCGCGCTGCACGAAAACAGTCCGCCTGTGAGATCACCTTGGTCGCCTCTGCCCCTCTCTGCGAGGGGGGAGCCTTCGCGATCGAATTCCACGCTTGGCTACCGGAGCTGATTCTGCTTTAGCGATGTAAGGTAGGCACAGCAGCAGTTCGGAGCGTGTGTGGCGCCAACATGCTTTGGCGTGGCGTGTCATATGCATCTGTCATGTGTGTACCTGTACGTGACACCAGATACCACCCCCCTGCATGGGTGTTCAAAGCTCGAGTGCTTCACGACGGAAAAGCTGGAGTATAAAACAAACGATAAGGCTTCGCAAAGCTCTCGACGAGCCGTTTCCAACGTTGCCATTTCCGACGTCATCACGCTTTTGTTGCCGTGGAATATTTGGGCTTTGAAATTTAGTAAGGGGGTGTGATATCTTGTGCAACCAACGGTCAGCGGTACACGTTGTACAACCAGGTGGTGCTACGCGACCACAATAATCGTTACGCGCCCTCGACCTGCGGAGGGAACGGGTTTCCTTATTGTACCTAAGAACGAAGTGGATCTGGTGTGGAGCGGTTGGCCCGTGGTGTTGTTACAACGGCGAACTCTCTGTACGCTGAATTTCGGCACATCCATAAATAACTAACGCGGCGCGTCACGTTTTGGAGACACTCTGCGTTACACCCACCCCTACTAACCACCCACTCACAGCAACAGGGTAAGTCCTGGCCTTGCTTGCTCATGTCTTGTACGGCAGTTGACGAAGGAAGAAAAATGTAAGACGCTAGGTGTAATGCGTTGTGCATCCACCACGAAAGTTTTGCGGCTGCTGTATCCTGTCGGTCGACTTTGACACCCGGGCCTATCAGCCACTTTCCCAATTGGTTTTTCAGCAGAGAATCACATGCTCCACCGCTTGCGCCGACCTGCGCAATCTCCTAACCTAGACATAATAATGTGTTCTGTATGTTGGTGTTGTGCAGGATCCCGGTACTTATCCACGCGTGTGATACGAGTTGTTTGTTGCTGAGATGGCATTGAATTCCCTCCCCCTCCCTTGTGGAGGGGCTCGCATCGATTTGGCTCTGATCGGAAGACACGCCACCTACTCCTTGGTGTAGCTACACCACCGGGTTGGTTTTTCAATGTTAATCAATGTTACTCGGCGGAGTGAACAGACTATCGATGTGCACATCCGCCTTACAACATCCTCCCATGGTCACAGTAGGCGATGAAATACGCAAGCATTTTCGACACTTTCGTAATCGACGATATCCCTACCTTGTCTGAAACATCGCATGGTTCATGGACCGAGCAGCGCTGGCGGTCCACCTTTTCCTGCAGCGTTCATGGGGACAACACGAGGAGGGAGAGAAGACCACATCCGGACGAATGTTGACTCTCTTGACGAAGCTGGCAGCGAAGAGCCCTCCCGGAGAGATGGGGGAGACGAAGAAAAATACCCGGAGGTGGAAGCCGAGAGACGACACCGGATGACGAGGAGGAAACTCGCACAGGAGACGGGAGCCGAGAGTAAAGCATCCGAGAGGGATTTTTATCCTCTCGAGGAAGCTGGCAGAGAGATGTGGGCGCCGGCGGGGGCAGGGGGGGGTGGCGAAGAGGGAAAACCCGACGAAGCTGGCCGAGATGGCACTGCCTGACGAGGAGGATAGGCGGGAGCCAGGGTCGGGTTACGGTGAGGGGAAGGCGGTTGGGCTGGATTGGGTTTTTCGTGTGGAAGGAACAGTCGTATACCTCACATCCCCCAGCAACGAATGACGAAAAAAAGATACATGTGCCGTGACAGCACCGTCCATTGGATACCCCGGCTGTTGGAGCAAGGACGCGTTGAAGACGAATCCACTGCTGCGCCGGTATATGTGAATCGTAGATTCACTGGTATGAGGACACAGGCTACCGTCAGAGACAGGAGCCGGTGCCGTTGCAGTGTTCCCCTACTGCCAAGGGTGGCTATTTCGTTTCCTGAGATGTAACGAGGAGAGAGGTAGAAAGAGTGACCAGCAAAGGGCAGAGGAAGGAGAGTCGAAGATTCTCCGCCTCCGCTCTCGGCAGGTGGTCAAAGACGATTGAAGAGACGGATCTCAACGATGTGTGACTTGTCACTCTCCAGATGGCAAGTTACCCCGATGGATTGTATCCTCCTACTCTCTATGTGCACGAATGGTTGGTTGGTTATGCTTCCGACAGGAGTCCTCCACATCACCCCCCCCTCTGTGAACCCCCCCCCCGGTGTTTGCCATCGGGTTGGGTTTTCGTCGCTTGGCAACGACGTTGTAAAACAAGCCGCCCCCCCCGGTGTTTGCCATCGGGATTGGGTTTTCGTCGCTTGGCAACGACGTTGTAAAACAAGCCACCCCCCCCGGTGTTTGCCATCGGGGTTGGGTTTTCGTCGCTTGGCAACGACGTTGTAAAACAAGCCGCCCCCCCCGGTGTTTGCCATCGGGATTGGGTTTTCGTCGCTTGGCAACGACGTTGTAAAACAAGCCAATTCACTTCGTGAACTCGGCAACCAGGTTACCGTTTTTTTTTTTTTCCTCCGTTTTTTTTTTTGGCGGTAACCATAATGGTGGTCGAGTAGATCATGTTGTGCGGGGTGGAGAACCCTCACTCCGCGCAAGGGGGATGATCGCACCACGTTGTGTTAAAATGGTCAAGCACCCTCGAGGCAGTTACACAGTGCTTACAACTGTCTCTGGAAGTGAAAGCACCAGAAAATAAATTAATTCATACGCAGCTGTCATCCGTACGCAAGGAAGTAAGCACAAGATGCCGAACACCCTTAGCAGGATGCAGCGCACCCTTCATGCGACTCGCCGAATATCTCACGGCGCTTCGCGCTTGGTGATGTGAGAGCCTGGTCCGGTGAGAACCCGGCGTGCTCCGTCCCGGCTTTGTAGGGATGCGAGGTCAATGGTCTAACGACTACGGCATGCACGACTATGAGTACACCACCCCTCTCTATGAGCCACAAGTCCATCTGTGATCNCGGAATTAACCTAGTTTGCACAATACCATCAACCAGATCTGATTATCGTACCACGCATGTTGAGAAACACGGAGTCCTCAGCCAGGGTGATGAATGTGGTCCACACTAGTATAGTCTAGAAAAATAAATGGTGGGTACTGGGCTATCATGGTGACAGTTAAAGGGTACTAAAATGTTTTGATGGTCATGATCGCGTGTAATGCCATGTGCGGGGATGATGAGCGGTAGACTTGTAATGAGGTGGAACCTCTGGCAAATCTGCCTATACATCTTAAATAAGAGCTTGGGATAGCGGTGATTTAATTGGATTCTCCGTCAGTGTTTATCCAAACACTGATCAAATAGGTTGTTTCCGGAGGGCCCAACCTACCACCGTGGCTACTGGTCCTGTGTTAAATATCAACACAGAATAATAGTAGTAAAAATTCCCAAGTCTAAGAAATAGAAATGGTAACTGCTAGAACGGTTGAAATACATCAATCGTTTAATTTTCGGGTCCTAGTTCGATTTCGTTTGCTAGTACGGCAGGGCAATGTACCATCACCTTGCTTCATAGCAGAACGCGGCTGGGGTAAATGTGGATTCCTTTGAGGAGTTCTCCGTCGTTTGTTGTTTTTGTTACGTGGCTCAGAGTTATTTTGCGCAACCAATTTCCGAGCTGAAGGTTCTCCAGGAGGATTCGTTGCCTGTTTTCGTTTTCGTTTCCTGGTTGTATTGGGTGATTTTGGATCTCCCTCTTCAACTGGGGTACGAGACAAAGATTTATCAGGCGGCGCGATGTCCAAACCACAACGGATTCGGTATGCACATAACATTCCTTGGCATTGTGGAATTTCGTCTGCTCTGTCTACAGGGTCGGACTCGGGGCCATATCCTCGAAGATGCGAACGACAGTTGTAGTTGTACGAGGTTTTCGGCCCCTTACCACTCTCGTGACTTACCACATTGTCAACGACGTTGGACTCAATCTTCGGTTGAGCTTCGTCGGGGTGATCTAGCTCGGGCAACGGAATCTGGCGTCCTAAGAAAAACTCGGAAAGTTTATCAAAGTCCGGCGCAGGTGGCGTCTTCCTCGCATAATACTGTTTGATGTGCGCCAAATGGACCGAAACTTGAAGGGTTTCTTTCTGGCGTCTCACTCTATATACCACAGGTGCTACACACAATAAACGCAACAACGATGCAACCTCAAATCCCAAGGACGTGTCAAAGACCTTACACAGGCAAGGAAAAGCAAAAAGCAGGTCTGACGTGCTCTTTCTGCCCCCCGCTTGTCTCCCACACAAACCACGCCTCCGTAGAGCTACTCTTCCTCCCGCGGTAGGCAGCACGCGGGAGCATCACCATCCTGTCAGGAGGGTTATCCTGTAGCCACCGGCCTCTGCTTTTGACAGGTTCCAGAAAAGTCAGCCTCAGCTTGAATGCCGCTCCCATGCGCCCGACCCGCAACGCCTGTTTCAATTTGTATAATGGATTGTTGTACGGTGAGCTAGTCACTACCCAGTCCGGACGGCCGGCGCGTGTCCTCGACGTATGCATACGCCTCTGCAAAAGTGTCCCTGGTGGCATCCAGGTGGGTATCGGCAACCAACCTGTGGGAGGCAAGCCAAAAAATCGAGGCGCCATCCATGTTTGACGCAACTGAAGCTGGATTCCATGCGGGGTAACTGCCAAACCGGCGGGGTATTTTATTTATTGTTTTCCTTTAAACGTTTCCTCAGAATCAGAGTGCTAAAAGCTACTGCAGGTAGTTGCTGGAAGCGCTGTTTTGTGACACACATGGTTCACGCTACAAAAACAATACCGGATGGGTGCCAGTTTTTTTTAATTACCTGTCAGCAAGCGAAGGGCTCGGAACTAGAAGGNTTCCTTTAAACGTTTCCTCAGAATCAGAGTGCTAAAAGCTACTGCAGGTAGTTGCTGGAAGCGCTGTTTTGTGACACACATGGTTCACGCTACAAAAACAATACCGGATGGGTGCCAGTTTTTTTTAATTACCTGTCAGCAAGCGAAGGGCTCGGAACTAGAAGGCAACATGCATTCCCGCGCGTGGTGGTTTCGAAAGAGGCCGTGAGACACACGTGTGCCTACCTGGGATTGTAGTCGGTGGTAGGAACACGAAGACCGCTCGCGATCAGCACCACCGTGCTGACTGCGTCTTGGGCGGCGCGACAGCAATCGAATGCGCCGCCTTCAACGTCCACGTCTTCCAGAAGCGCTCGAACCTGAAATAGCATGATTTGAGATAACCCCGTGCGCCCATCACAAACGCATCCATGTTTTGAATCTGTCAATACTCCAAGTGCCATCTGGTAGAAGGATAGCGCGGGCAGCAGCAGAGAAACAAAATGTAGCGATTTCCATCCTGCGGTGGACGCGAGGGTGAGGGGCGACAGTTGAACGTACATGCTCCGCAATGATTTGCATCTCTGCTCGCATAACGGTTATGACTTTGGACTTGAGAGAAATGACCACTACTTTGGGTCAGGAAAATCAAAACACTTTTATTTTTTATACGACGAGTCACTTTGGGAGGACCATGAAGTGCCAAAAAAATGGGTTGTGCAGCCGGCGCCAACACTCTAAAAGTTTTTTCGGGCACCAGCCATTAATACGGTTGTTGGCCGATACCCTTCCACGGGCTTCCAGGTATGATACATGATCATGACGTGCTTGACGGAAAGCACCTTGATTGACCATCCGCAAGTGCGGTCTGGGGGCACTCCCAATCCCCATCGGTCCAGCCAATTGCACCCTGTAGGGTACATTATCATCATTTGAGTACACGGGTTTTGCACCTTTTGTCTATGGAGTTCTGACGGAAGCCAACACGTAAGGCGACGGCTGCCCAACTACCATGTTGTCCCTAGACCGTTTGTCTTCCTTCTGGCGGCGCCTCTTGAACGTTCTGTGAATCCCACCGACACAGTCGGGCCGGCAACAGACGCACTCTCCAACCTTGAGAGGGTCTCCTTGAAGGTCGCGCTCATGTGGCCACCCTTCCCCTGCTGTTGCTGACAACTCGCCCAGCTCCCCCCACTATTTTCCGTCCAACGTGCTTCTACTTGCTTGAGCTCCCGTCGCGACTGCCGGAACGTCCACAAACGAAGCAAAGCAAGTTCTCCTCCTGGCGCTTATTTATTTACCATGCACAACTTTGCCACAGGAGACGAGAAAACCGCGGGTCATGGCGCGTACTGTACACCGATTACCACGTTCTTTTTGGCCGTTCTTTTCGCCGACCGAACCGCATTGCTGGAGAAAGGGGATGTGCTCAGCTGTACGCAGCAAGCACCCTAAAAGTCGAAACCAGTACAGGCCGCACTGATTTGGGCTGGTTGGATGGGCTGCACCCCGACACTCCTCGTGTACCAGCTGTCCTGTGTATTCGCCCACTGAGCAATAAATGAAGTACAAAACTTGCACCATCCGCTGCTGTGTGAGTAGGACGACAGCTCACCGCGGTTAAGTACTCTCTGGCGTGAACTTGTGGCTTGTTAAGGCTGATCTTGGTGTTCTCTGGCGGGCGATGCCCAGGGCGATAGG